ATTGCCACATGTCATCATTCTGGTCATTCTAGTTGATGCAGCTTCTAATCTTATTTATAATGGATATGATATTTTAGCCAAGGAAAGGGTAGGTTTTCAAATTTACTTGTTTGTTTGTTTGTTTGTTTGTTTGTTTGTTAACAATTTAGAATATTAAATTTGAATTCCTTTTTAATTTTAGACCAAAATTAATATATTTACTTTACAAATAACTAAATTTTTATCATCAGCATCTTTTAATTTTAACCCAAAAGCAATTATAATCACACCAACAAGAGATCTGGCAAACCAGGTTTCATTCAGTTTTGAATCAGTAACAAATAATGAAGATATAAAAACATTATCTATTATACATGCTGTCCAAATCCAAAATCATTTGGGATTTATGGCATCCCAAATAAGGTTTCTGGCTGAAACTCTCTATTAGTAGCCAAAATTGCCAAAACACTTTGGGCAAAAATTACTTTTTTATGAGCCCAAACTATTTTTTGTTATTATCTGAAATTGGGCAAAATTACTTTAAAGTTGTTTAAGTTAAAATAAGTTGATTGGTATAGTTTTTTAATGTTAATGTTTATAAAAAATGCTGAGAAGCCCAAATTGCCCAAACTAGTTTGGGCTTTGAGAAAACAGTTTGGACTGGAAACCTTATGTGGGATGTGCCAGCTCAGGCAGATAACAAAGAATTGCCGAGAAAATGTTACCAGGCAGGGAAGTAAAACTTGCCCCTACAACAGATTAATAGACTAAGCGCTATTAATGCCATACAAAGAAGAAATGCAATTACAATTGAGAATTAAACCATCAAGAAGACATTTGGCCACAGCTATATAAACTAAATAAAACACTATTTTTAACTAAATCAAGAGATTTGTGTGAGATGCAGATTTCGACCTCACAATATTCAACATCCAAATTTCCAAAATAACAAAAATAAAAGATGTGAGAAATCATTACCTTTATATAATATCATTATTTAAATAATTTTATATTTAATACCACAACTATAGTAGCCAGATAATTAAAAATATTAATAAATAATTTAATACTGTATGTAATAAAATGACAAGATTTAAATTATTTGAGTAATTCATCTGGTACAGTTAATTCAATTTGTTTAGAATCTGGCATAGCTAAATCAATCTGTTTAGAATCTTGGTCTTACACCTCCACATATTTTCATTGCAAGATCTACATCATGTGCCAAATTATTAAATGGTTGTTGGCCAGTTGATATTAGAGACATTAGAATTCCAAAACTGTATACATCTAATGCCATTGTATATGGTTTCTCTTTTAAAACTTCTGGTGCAATATATGGTAGTACTCCACATATATCATTTTTGTCTGATAATAATGTTTGGCCAGATGTGCATGATAATCCTAAGTCTGCAATATAATATATATATTTTCTTTAGATTGAAGAATATTATCACTATGAAAATCATGATGAATAATTTCTTTTTCATGAATATCTTTTAAACCATTAATAATTTGTTTAAGAATATTAATTTTGTCTTTCCATTTTAAGTTTTTAAAATCTTTTGTTAAATAATTTTGAAGATTTCCATCTTCCATATATTTCATTACAAATATATATTTTTTTGTAATTGGATCCTGTGTTAATCCATAAATATGAATTATATTTTCATTATCATAAAACTTCATATAATTTTTGAACTACATAATAAATAAAATATTTAATTACAACAATAATAATTGATAATATCTAAAAAATCAGAAAATAAATAGAAAAATAAAATAAAATACCTCATTAAGAAATTCATCAGAAATATTCTGTGAATTGTGTAGTTTTTTTAATGCCACAGTCATATCTTCAATAATTCTTTTATTTCCATCAGTATGTTTATAACCATTTAACCAAGTACAGTGTTGGAAATTCAGGGTGCGGACGAGCAAGTTACACAAAAATCGTGGAACATTTTATGTGCAAATTATAATACGTAGTACCAAATAAAAATATATTTTGTAAACGTTATTTGTAACATTAATTTATTTAGTTCGCGTTTCTTTCAATTTATTTTATTTATGTTTATTTATATTTTATTTATATTATCAATCCATTTAATTTTATTATAAAAAAAGACATCTTTCAAGGTAATAAAGATGACTCATATTTTACAACAATTAAAATATTTGTTAGTAGAATATTTAATTTTGACTTTTGAAAAATAATTCTTACACTTACTATATAAAAATATTTTAATAAAAATTCAAAAATTTTAATTAAAAATGTCTAATAAACAAATTACTAAAAGAATTTTATTCATTGATGAAGATTCAAATCCTAAAAAAAAATAAAACATTAGAACAATCAACTTCATCAATTGATTTTTCTGCCAAAGTTCATAATACTCCAGTTCACCAAATGGAAATTTTTGAGATATCTGATGATGAATCAATTGGTAGTGATAATACTATAAGTTCTGGAGATGAACAAAAATCACATAATAGAGAAACCATTGATCCTGAATGGTTTAAATTATATCCATGGTTAGAAGTTGAAGTTTCCAATGAAAAAACAATCTTATATTGCAAAATCTGTAGAGAATACCAATTTTGCAAAAGGTTCATCTAATTTAAGACTATCAGGATTAAAAAAAATTCAAATTCTAATGCACATAAAAAGTTTGAATTATTTGAGATAGGGTTTATAAATCAATTGGGCACCAAAAAATTAACAATTGTTTCATTGATGCAAATTATTTATTTTTGTTCAAAAAAAATATTCATTGAATGTATATCCTGATATGTGCAATTTAATGTTCTTGCAGACAAAAACAAAGTTACTAATGATAAAAAATTCAATTTAAAACCTGCATCCATAGCAAAGCCATCATTATCTAAATCAACATATGGGAGTTATGCTAATAATAAATCTGGTTCTGAATTTTTAGAATGTATAGTTTCTGTAATACAAAAAGAACTTTTTGAAGAATTGAATTCATCTCCATATTGGAGCATTATGATTGATGAGACAAATACTATTAATAATAAGTATTTAGCAATTGTAGGAAAATACATGGTGGATAACATACCATACATGAGATATTTGGGAATGATTGATTTGGAATCAACTGATGGAGAAAATATTTTTAATCAAATAATATCATTTTGTGATGACAAAGAAATAACCTCTCAAAAAATAATTCATTTTGGAAGTGATGGTGCATCTAATATGACTGGTTATAAAAGTGGTGTTGCTGCAAGACTTAAAAAAATAAATCCATTCATGTCATCTAATCATTGTGTGTCACATAGACTACATTTGGCTGGAAAAGATGCTTCTAATGAAGTTTTATGTTTTGAAAAATATGAGGAAACCTTAAAAAATTTGTATGCATTTTTTTCTAAATCACATAAGAGACAAAACATGTTAAGAATGATGCAAGACATTAATGATGAACCAACACTAAAGATTTTAAATTTATGTGAAACACAATGGTTGTCCTTTTCTAATTCTGTTAGTAATTTGTATAAAATTTTGAATTCAGTACTTGCAACTCTTAATGATTATGTTAATGAAGGTGATAAACAAGATGAATTATTGTATAATCAGTTGGATCAAGATTTTATTTTTGCAACTATGTACTTTGCTGACTTAACAAATATTCTAAAGAAATTGATCAATACTTCCAACTAGATTTTTTATCATTATCTCAATTTAAAAAAAGCCTCAACAATACAATAAATGAAATAGAGTATGAATTCATTGGTAATGAGCAATTTCCACCTAACAATGGTTTCATTTTCAAAGAATATTTAAATAAGCATAATTTTAATTCTCCACCATTTATTAAAGAGTATTCCATTGCAATAATTGATGCTATTCAAAGAAGATTTCCACAAATGGAATTATATAGCTCATTTA